TTTGCATTCTCTTCCATTTTTTCCACATTCACGTATCAATAACAAATATATTTTTTAGCCTACATACCTTTTTCTACATGGTATACAGAGCAGGTTTATAACCCTAGCCCTAATTTATTTTTTTCGGCAGATTTCTTTGCCGTTCCCATGGCTGACTCTTCTTCTTCCGATGGTGTTTTTTCCCTCCATCATTCCGACCACCCGAATCTTGTCCTTGTATCCAAGAAGTTGAATGGTGATAACTACACATCCTGGGCCCGTGGCATGCAGCTTTCCTTGAGTGCCAAGAATAAACTTGGTTTCATCACTGGCGATATCCAAGAACCTTCTTCCTCTGACGACCCTGATGCTCACGCAGCTTGGCATCATTGCAATGACATGATTCTCTCTTGGCTTCTGCATTCCTTGGAACCTGACCTTCAAGAATCTGTGCTTTTTTCCACCTCTATCCAAGCTGTATGGGATGATCTTCGCGAACGCTTCTCTCAGAGTAATGCTCCACGCATCTTCCAACTTAACCGGGAACTTGCTACAATTTCTCAAGGTTCTTCTTCTATCTCCGCCTATTTTACTCGCTTGAAAGCTCTCTGGGATGAGCTTGCTTCTTATAATGATGGATGCACGTGCTCTTGCAATGCCAAGCATGACCGTCAACAACTCATGCAATTTTTAATGGGCCTCAACGAATCATTTGCTGTTGTTCGTGACCAGATTCTTTTAATGAATCCCTTCCCCACTGTTCGTCAGGCCTGTTCCTTGGTGTCTCAAGCTGAAAAACAACGCTCCCTGGGCGTCCTCCGCTCTGTCGATCAACCTGCTGCCATGGCTGTTCGTGGCCCGTCCCGTCCCTCCTCTGCTCGTCCTCCCCTCCACTGCACCTACTGCAATTTTGATTATCATACCCGAGACACCTGCCATAAACTTCATGGCTATCTCGTTGGCCATCCCCTCCATGGCCAACCGTGGCGACCACCGCGCCGTGCCACTGCTTCCAGTTCTTCCCGCAGCCATGCACCTTCCAGTCCTCCCCGGTAGCCACGGTTTTCTGCTTCCCGACCCCATAATTTCACCCAGGCCCATCACGTGCAAGGCACCCAGGCCCCCGCCTCCTCTTCTACTCCAGCAACCCATCAAATGCACAGGGCCCAGCCCACTTTGCATGACTTGCAGCTTGCCATGCCTGACCTCTCTGCCGAGCAGCACTCCCGTGTTCTAGCTGCTCTACGTGACACCACCACCCCTCCTCAGGCCAATGCCGTGCTCACTACTGATTTTGCCCAAGGTTTGTTACCTGTCACCTCTCGTCATGGTCAATGGATTCTTGACAGTGGTGCTACGGATCATATTACTTCTTCCGCCTCATGTTTGGTTAATCGTTCTCCTTCACATTTGCCGCCTGTTTCTTTGCCTAGTGGTGCTTCCGCTCCCATTACTTTTACCGGCACTCTTCCTTTAAATTCATCAGTTACTTTGAAGGATGTTTTATGTGTCCCTAATTTCTGAGTGGACCTTTTATCGGTTGGTAAACTTACAGATGGATTATCGTGTTCCATAACCTTCTTTCCTTCTTGGTGTGTTTTGCAGGACTTGGTTTCGAAGGCAATGATTGGTGTGGGTAAACGACGTGGCGATCTGTATTACCTTGTGGCTCTTACCTCTTCTCTCCCCACCCGTCAACCTCTCTGCAACATCATTACCATCCCCTCCTCCCTCTGGCATAAGCGTCTTGGTCACCCCTCCTCCACTCGTTTGCAAGGTTTAGCATCTAGTTCTCTTAATTGTACTTTTGATTCTAGTCATATTTATGATGTTTGTCCGTTGGCAAAACAAACTCGTCAACCTTTTCTTTTGAGTTCAATTTCATCAACTTTCCCTTTTGCTTTAATTCATTGTGATATTTGGGGCTCGAATCATCAATCTTCTCTTTCTGGTGCTCATTATTTCTTAACCATTGTGGATGATTTTTCTCGCTTTACGTGGGTCTTCCTCATGAAACATAAATCTGACACTCAACAATTAATTAAGGATTTTTTTGCTTATGTCACTACCCAATTCCGCACTACCATCCAATGCATTCGTACTGACAATGGTGGTGAATTTTTATCTCTTCGTAGTTTTTTCTCTGATCATGGGGTGCTTTTACAAACTTCTTATGTTTATACCCCCCAACAAAATGGCGTTGTTGAAAGAAAACGTCATCTTCTTGAAACCGCTCGCGCCCTTCGTTTTCAATCCCATCTTCCTATCAAGTTTTGGGGGGAATGTGTTCTTACCGCTACTTATCTCATCAATCGTCTCCCTACCCATCTTCTCCATCATAAATCCCCATTTGAGGTTCTCTTTTCGAAAACCCCATCTTATGACCACTTCCGCGTCTTTGGTTGTCTGGCATATGCCACCTCTGTCACTCCCACCACCAAATTTTCCCTTCGGGCTCATCGTTGCATTTTTCTCGGTTATCCTCATGGACAAAAGGCCTATACCCTTTACGATCTCGACAATCACCGCATTTTCACTAGTCGAGACATCATCTTTCACGAAACTACTTTCCCTTATGCCGTTTCTCACCCTCCTATCCCATCCTCTTCGCCTACCCTACCCATCCCACCCCCTCTGGACTTTACATATAACCCACCCCTTCCTGCCTCGACGCCTTACCCTCCTCCACCTTCCTCCCCTTCCACGCCTCCCACAGATTCCCTTGCTGCCCCATTACCCGTTCCTCCCCATACCCCTTTACCCACGGACATCCCTACCCCCCCCCCCCCACTACCTACCAATCCTCCCCTTCCCCGCACCTCTTCCCGTGCTCATAAACCTCCATCCTATTTAAAAGACTACGTTTGCTCGTAGGTGATTCTGCCATCCCACCCATCTTCGACTTCGCAACCCGGTTCTACACAAGGTACGCGATATCCACTTTGTAATTTTCTCTCTTATCACCGTTACTCTCCCAGGCATTTTTCTTACATTAACTCTATCAGTCGGACTGTGGAGCCTTCCTCCTTTGCCGAGGCTGCCACTGACCCCAATTGGCAACGTGCTATGACTGAGGAGCTTCAAGCTTTACATGCTAATGGTACTTGGACTGTAACTTCCTTGCCCCCTGGTAAAATTCCCATTGGTTGTAAGTGGGTGTACAAACTCAAGCACAATTCCGACGGCTCTATTGACCGCTACAAAGCTCGTTTGGTTGCTAAAGGCTTCACTCAGGCTGAAGGTATTGATTATCATGACACTTTTTCTCCTACTGCTAAGATGATTACGGTGCGTTGTCTTCTTGCTCTTGCTGCTAGTCAGTCTTGGTCTCTTCATCAGCTTGATGTTAATAATGTTTTCTTACATGGTGACTTACATGAAGAAATCTATATGTCTCCTCCTCCTGGTCTTCATCGACAGGGGGAGAATCTTGTGTGTCGCCTTCACAAGTCACTTTATGGTCTTAAGCAGGCTTCTCGCCAATGGTTTGCCAAATTCACTAGTGCCATCATTTCTGCCGGTTTTCAACAATCCAAAGCTGACTATTCATTGTTCACTAAAAAGTCTGGTATTTCTTTCACAGCTTTGCTCATTTATGTAGATGATATTGTGATTACAGGCAATGATGCTAATGCCATTAATTCTCTGAAGTCTTTTCTCCGTGATCATTTTCGGATAAAAGACCTTGGTGATTTAAAATATTTTTTGGGTATTGAGGTTTCTCGTTCCAAACAAGGGATTTATATTTCTCAACGCAAGTATGCATTAGAGATTCTCAAGGACTATGGTTTTTTGGGAGCACGACCCATTGCTTTTCCTATGGATGACACAAAATTATTTGATAAAGGAGAACTTCTCAAGGATCCTGAAAAGTATCGACGATTAGTAGGTCAGTTAATATATCTCACTATCACTCGGCCGGATATCACCTATTCTGTGCATGTTCTAAGCCGTTTTATGCACGAGCCAAGGATATCTCATATGGATGCTGCGCTTCGTATTGTTCGTTATTTGAAGGCTACTCCAGGTCAAGGTTTATTATTTCGTTCTGACAACCAGACCAAGTTAACTGCGTTTTGTGATTCTGATTGGGTAGGTTGCCCTATCACTCGCCGTTCGACTACTGGGTATTGTGTATTCTTGGGCGGTTCTTTGATTTCTTGGCGGACGAAACGACAGAAAACCGTTTCGCTCTCTTCAGCAGAGGCGGAATATAGGGCCATGGCAGGTGCTTGTTGTGAGATAGTTTGGCTTCATTTTTTGTTGAAGGATTTGAACATTCCTTTGGATGGTCCTTCCACTTTATTTTGTGATAATCAAGCAGCGTTACATATAGCTGCCAATCCTGTTTTTCATGAACGAACTCGTCACATTGAGATGGATTGTCACTTTATACGAGATAAGATTGTAGATGGCACAATAGAGACCAAGCATGTGGGTACGGCACAACAGTTGGCAGACTTGTTTACCAAACCTCTTGGGAAAGAAAAGTTTTCGGGTATGTTACGCAAGTTGGGAGTTCTTGACATCCACTCTCCAACTTGAGGGGGAGTGTTAGACAAATAAGGAATATGGTTGGAGTAATTGTGTAATTGTATATAATATTATTCACTAGCCGTCCTACAGCCGTCCTACCTTGTCCTACCTACACACTAGCCGTCCTACAGCCGTCCTACCTTGTCCTACCTACACACTAGGACGGCTACCTTGTCCTACCTACACACTTGTATCATGTATATATATCCTTGTAATCTTGTAGAGAAAGACAATGAGAAAAAAAAAGCATTCTCTTCCATTTGCATTCTCTTCCATTTTTTCCACATTCACGTATCAATAACAAATATATTTTTTAGCCTACATACCTTTTTCTACACACCTAGAAATCCATCATAAGTTTGCTTGATTTGTTACAAAAAAGTTTGTGAAACAATTGCCAGTTTGGACATAAGTTATACCGTCCTATGCCCAAACTGGCAGAGGGTTTCCCAATAAGCCACCAACTTTAACAAAACGCTCCCAAATTCAGCTTAAGCCATAAACATTCATGATCCATAAAGCGATTGAAATCATTAGTTACACATCCAGCGAAAAAAACTTACTTATGTACTGACAGCGAAAGCAAATTACAAGGAGCGGATGATCTCATTATTCCCACACGTTACCTTCAACTATTTATACTGACCAAGCTCCAGAACCGGTGAATCCAACGTTCCTCTACAATAACTCCTTAACGTGACAATATTGCGAGACAGACATTGTATACACTTATTGCATGCAACACTTTCTTTGAATACATTAAAACGGCGCACCAAACTGGAGGACCTTCTTCCAGGATGGTCTGCTGCTAATATCATCCCACCAAGCAGAGACACGCTTTCTGTCCCTTATCATATACTCCTTCCCCATACTATTGGCCAAGTAGTGGGTGAACGGAAGGTGGCTCAGATCAGCAAGGCTGAAAAAATCACCGGCCAAGTACTTGCTCTTCGACAGCCTCTCCTCGTAAATGTCCAACACCTTCCCGAGCTTTTCTTCACTCTCCTGGATGATCTTCGGGTCTGAAGGAAATCCCAATGCCGAGGCAAACAAAATGTGCATGACCAAGTTGTCGAGTGGCGGGTGATAGTTGCTTGCTTCAACCTCTAGCCACTGTTCCACAAGACCTCTTTCCTCAATTGTCTTTCCAAGTAAATCAGTCCCCTGGGATTTGTATTTTTCGGCATAGTACCTTATGATTGCGCGTGATTCTGCAAATCAAATTTGGACAGTTTTATTACAGAGCTTGATAGGTCACTACACTTATGTAGAAGAGAAAAAGGAGAACAAGGTTTTCATCAAACAATTTACACAAAATTTCTCACTGCCGAAACATAATTACTGGGGTGAATACTACATAACCATGGCAACAAAGTTATCTGGCTTCTGATCTGAAAATCAATCACCTTCCAACTGAAAAAGCCGCAAGATCGATGCGGTTTACGTCAAACGATATATGAAGTTAAGAATATAACATGCTACACTGTTTTATCTATGAAAATTTTCCTTCGATATTTCACAATTTTCAACTAATATCTATAACAAAGAAAACACAAACATTATTAATCAAATTAATATTTATCTGCAAACAAGAAAGGATAAAACTAGACAAACGTGGATTCAAATTCAAAAACAGGCATACCATACAAAGTATAATCCCCATCTTGGATAACAGGAACTTGTCCAAAGGGCTGCATTTGTAAAGACAAAGCAACGCAAAGATCAATATATTTATAGTTTCCGAAAAGATTAATACGAGTAGAGCAATCACGATTAACAAATGAATAAATAGCTAAAGCTAACCTGTAATTTGAGAAATTCCGGAGATTTGTGTTCACCCTTGAAGAGATCAATGGGGCTGGTCTCAAATTCAATCTCCTTCTCAACAAGGCACACCAGCACACGCTTCGGCGAAGCGTAGAAAGGGCCGTACACCTTCACCACCATCGCAATTGTTATCGAAAATTGTTTTCGAAAATTGAGAAACCAGGAATTTAGTTTGTGCAGAACAGAGTTTGGTCTCCAGATCTTATAGACTCTCCAGTTCTTTGACGGAAGACACAGTATCCAATTTGCTTTTGCTCTCTCGGTCTTTTGCTTTGGTAAGCGCCTTGCTCATCACATCAGAAGGGGAAACACAGAAATTATTAATGGTCGGTTTTCGATATCAAATGTATAACATACAATAATACGGAGTGGATAAGAGATAAACCGAAAAGCCAATCGTGGAGGTCTCTCCATTCATATTATAGGACCCCTGTGCCCAAAATCTCCATAAACTAGGTAAAAATTTAATATTAATTGCATAGTTTGCAAAACAAACTCACACGAGGAGTGAAAATTTTCAGCGTAACAGCTTATACCGAACCGTATTAAATCCACTTATGTCATAGCATGGCATCTCTTTATTAATACTATAGTCAAAGTCCATGAAAAAAAAAAAAAAAAAAAAAAAAGGACAAGGATTGTTTGCCCTTCTACTTTCGGTATCTTTCCGTGTCCTTCTGTTTATATGGTCACGGTTAAGTCACGTTAACATTTTATGTTACTATTCATTTTTGTCTTATTTTCTCTATAAAAAAATAATATAAAATGTTGACGTGGCTTAACCATAGCCACACAAAACAGAAGGGCACGGGAGGACACTGAAAGTGGAAAGGTAGACAATTCTTGTCCAAAAAAAAAACTACATATCAACTATGTTGTACACCGATATTACTACAACACCACGTGGATTAGTTATACGACCTACTACCTAACGGTGTCCATCACACTCAAAATTTCTTCATCAACGCTAGCCTTTTCATGGTAGGGATTCTCATTTTTCAAAAACAATAGAGATACCTTCTTGACCGTTAGATTTGACTTTAATGAAATTTTGTGGTTGAGATTAAATTACAGGCCACAAAATCTCAACCACTAGATTTCATTAAAATCAAATCTAACGATCAAGAAGATGTCCCTTTTTTACTTTTTCTTTTTTTGAAAAATGAGGATTTTTTCCTTTAAAGGCTTCTTTTATATATATATATATATATATATATATATATATATATATCACATCATAGCCACTGTCACAGTTCTCTCTATACATACACTACGAGGAAATAAATAAATAAGAGTAAAGTACAAAAAATTATCTCAACTATTGGTCTCACGACACTTTCATACCTCATCTTTTTAAAATGACAATGTCATACCTCATCTTACAAATTTGTGCCAATGTCATACCTCCGTCAGTTTTTCTATTAGTTTCTCTGTTAAGTGCTGACGTGGCTAAATACGGGGGTCACTCACTAATCCAACTGGATTAAAATATAATTAAATATATATTTTAATAATTAAAAATTAAAAAATTAAAAAATATATATATTAAATCTCTCTTTCCCCCCTCTCTCTCGCCTTTCTCTCTTCTCTGCATCCCCAAAACCCATTCCCACCCAACCCCCCCCCCGGTCACCTTCCCACCCGTCCCCCCCAACCTTCCTCTACCACCTTCTCTCTCCCCTCTCTCTCGCATCTCCCTCTCCTCTCCACTGTAGTCTCCTTCCTCCTCACTTCTCTCTCTCACCGTGCCCAGATACCCCACCCCAAACCCACCTAGATTTTTTCATCTGCCCTCTTTTCTCGGATCTACCTGCAAGCTCCGACCCGCTTCTCTCTCCCACTCCATTGCCCACCGCCAATCCGTCGTCGTTGCCGTCTCCGAAGCTGTCAAGGAGAAAGGAAGAGCTGTCAAGGTTGGGGCCAACGAGGTTGTCGTCTTCCCCTAACCCAAACCCAGATCCCACCCCAAACCAGCCACTCTCATTCCCAGCAGGTGCCTCTCTTCTCTTCCTCTGCCACTCTCTCTATTTCTAACCTACAAGCATGCATAAAAAAACAAAGCACCCACCAATCCTGAGAACACACCATTAACAAAAGTTCAAAAATCCATCTTCCAGTTTACCTCACTTTTGTATGAAAATGGAACCTTTAGAATGTCAAAAAAATTCATTTCCTTTCTCCCACATTTTCCGAGCAACCAAACAAAGCAAAACCATTCAATTTTTCCCAAAAAAAAAAATAGAAAAAAAGGACAGAAATGAGGGAAGGATTACTCAATCGGGGAGAGAGAAAAAAAGAATGAACCAATAAGGATGAGAAGAAAGAAATGAGGGAACCCGGTCGACTTCATTTCTCCATCAAACCCGAGCTGTTTTGAGCGTTATTTCACGACGATCACCCCCGTCGACTTCAAGGACACCACCACGGCAGTGATCAGCCATTTCTACAAACACCATCGTCGACCACCACCATCAATCGGCTACCCTTGAGGTCAGGAATAAATCCCATGCATTGGTTGGGGCATCGGAGTTCGTTTGGATAGCGAAACGAGATCACCCATTTTTAGGGTTTTCGGCAGATCGAGGGTGATTTGAGGGGTTTTCCGGTCAAATTGGACTTCGGCTCAGGTATGAAAGTTGTTTCTCTCATTGAGATCATCATTCTTGTGAAATTTGGAAATTTTTTGAGTTGTTCGATTTTCCCTCGAGTCGGGGCGGCCGGCCGCCGCATGTAGTAGCGCGTGGCCTTCCGGGCCGCCGCCTTATGGCAATTCATGTGGCAGCGCATGGGGGGAACCCGAGGTCACTCCTTAGGTTTTCCGACGTGCCAAATCCAAATCCGCCGTCCGTTTTCCCAAATTCTATTGTTTAGGTATAGTTTTACTAAAAGGTCTCTAAAGCGACGTCTTCCTCGCTAGTTCAAGTAGTTCTCGGGCAATAAAATCTGTGAGGGGACCCCTTCTTAACTTATATGTTTATAAAATATTAGCGTAGCATGCATTTCATAATTCATGATTGAATATGTTTTACATTATGCTTTATTTAAATAGCTTTTATGGAATAATTATGATTTATTGGATTTACATATTACTAACGGTTATGCATCACTGGATTTTCATTTATGAATTTCTATGGAACACGTATGTTTTATTATGGATTTATGAATATGATTTACCATGGATTTATGAAGTGAGGTTTTGAGCTTTTGAACTTCAGATCGATATGAGATTTTGAGATATGTTTCCACACAACATAGGTATATAAATGTGTATGGCTATAGGACACAATTGAGGATGATTATGTATATATTTCTTCTCCGGCATACCGGAGTCGCACAACTTCACCTTCGGGTGATGAGGCCTACCATGTTCCTTCACTGGCGTAACCCAGTGTTGTACAGCTTCACCTGGTACTGCCTTCGGGCAAATGATGAGTTGATGATATTGATGACATACCCTTAGCTTCACTGGCGAAACCAGTGTCGAACAACTTCACTAGCCACAGTTAGTGTCGGTGTGTGATGTATATATTTTCTTCTCCGGTGTAACCCGGAATCGTACAGATTCACCTTCAGGTGATGGAGCCTACGATGTTTCTTCACTAGCATAACCCAATGTTGTACAGCTTCATCTTCGGGTGACTATGATACTCCTAAAGAGTATAGTATTGAAGAGATTTATGGATTTTCCTTCGAGTGATGATTGCACCATTATTGAGCATGGTTTTACTCATACTTGTTTTACGAATGTTCTACATAGCATTCTAGCGTTTTTCATAAAACTTATATATAGTATTATATATGTGTTTTCAAATCAGGGGGTTATTATGTTCAGAAATAAAATGTTTTCCTATTATTAGTATTATTATTATAAACTTTGGTCCACTCACCTTTCTGTTTTTGCGCCCCCTCAAGAGCTAGGATCGAGGCACATGATCCTGGCATCAGGACTCTACAACATAGGTATCTTCAAGTCTCCTCAGTATAAGTATCATTCCCTTGTTCGTATCTTTTTATAGTAATTTTTCCCTATTATTTCTAATTAATTGTATGCTTTGAACACGTTCCTGCTTTGGTATAATCGTTCTAACTACTTATCTTGTATTTGTATGCATGTTTAAAATGGCTTTGTCACCCTCGGGTGTCGACCAGCACATACCTACCCTGATATTTTGGGATATTGGGGTTGGGGCGTGTCATCACGTCGTCGACATAATGGGTGAATAAGTTTCTTCATAGACAATCCTAGGGCGTAGTGAGAAGTCTTATGCAGCAAGACGAGCTTTGTAACGTACAATTTCGTTCTTCTCATTACGATTCTAAACAAAAACCCACTTGTAGCCAACAGGCTTCACATGTGGATAAGTAGGAGATACAGGTCCAAACACCTTACGTTTCGCAAGTGAATCAAGTTTGACTTGTATTGCTTGTTTCCAGTTTAACCAATCAATTATACGTCGACATTCATCAACAAAACGGGGTTTAGTGTCATCGCTCAACATGATCTCAGTAGCTGTTGCATATGCTAATGCATCATTGAAAATCATTTCATTTCTATACCAAACATCATTCAAGCTAGCATAATGGATCAAAATCTCACGATTCTCATGAGGTGGATTCATCTCTTTAAGGATGCTTCTGTAATCTAGAATTTCCTAATGAGTTGGATAGAATGAGTAGGCAATAGTTTGATTCACAATAGGCTCTTCAGGGGCCTATGATGTGGGTTTCCTCTTTCGAATGTGTGAATCTTTTGAACCAAATGGTCTGCCATGCTTGTGTGTAGGGGCAGATGATTGGCTAACCGTTAATGTATGTGGATCAGGCCAAAGTGGTGTCCCGGGCCTCTAGGAGGAAAGCCCGTCGTACATTTGATACATTCATCTTTGCAGGCACATTTGCAGCTCGAATATGTAATCTTGTCACTCTCGCTAGATCGATGAAACCATTTGGCATACTCTGAGCTACGCTCTGAAGATATAATATGCGCTGCATTTCAGTTTCAGACTGATCGGTGCAGGGATCTAAATGAGACAAAGTGGGAGTCGTCCACGATAATTTGCATCATTCTAATAGTGACGTTCTTATCTCCCCCTAACGACGAAAATATTGTCTCATAGAAGTGACAATCCACGAAATGAGCAGTAAACAGATTGCCTATCATAGGTTCTCTGTAACTAATTATCGAAGGAGAATCATATCCGACATAGATTCTCATTATTTGATGATGCCCCATTTTTTATTGTAAGGGCGGCGAAATCGACACATAGACCGCACAACCAAAATCGTACAGATGCAATATATCGAGTTCATATCTAGTAACCAACTAAAGGGCCATATATGGTTGGGTCGC